CTACAGCTTCTAGATGCCCAGTGAAGATGATACATTGATACATTGCTTGTTTTGTGTTGTGTTGTTTACAGTTCAAACATACTCTTGGATGAGCACCTGCAGCCCAAATTATCAGATTTTGGATTAGCTTGTCTCAGACCTCACTCTGTCGACCAGAGCTGCACTATAGTCATGGATACAGCTTCTCATAGCAACCTTTGCTATCTCCCAGAGGAGTACATCCGTGATGGCAAGCTGTCAGTCAAACTTGACGTGTACAGCCTTGGCATGGTGAGTGCAGCATCCTGTTTAAAAAAATGATATCCGGAGCCAGGTACAATTTGTACAAATAAAGATTTATGTCTGCATTTTAATGCTAATGATTCAGCTGCAGAATACTGGCTATTAAAATGTCTTTCTCATTTACTACTGGCCTGTCATGATTGGCCCAACATAATTCAGCTTTTTTTTCCCCCCCTTACATTTCTTTTAAATTTTCTTTTTATGCTTGTAGGTTATATTAGAGACATGTACTGGACAGAAGGTGAAACAAGAGTCAGGAAAAAGCCTGTTTTTGGTAAGAAGTAAGAATCTACTTGAGGAATAAAAAATGTTACTTGCCAAAACAATATAGACATATCACTTTAAAGTGGTCATATAAATAAAATGAATTTTACAAATATCTGACCCTAATATATATATATATATACATACACAAGAAACTTGGAGACAGATTGACAGATCATGTGACACTGAAGACTGAAGTAATGATCACAGGAATAAGTGATATTTTAAAATATATCCAAATGAAAATTATTATTACTACTACTTGTTTTAAATTGTAATATTATTTAATTATAAATAGTATCATTACTATTTTCATTACATTTTATTTGTATAATTTCATTATTTAATGACTTTTTTTTTTTTACATTGAGTTTTTTTTTAATCCGTTGATATAATTCATACTTTACATTAAAGGGATAGTTCACCCAAAAATGAAAATTCTGTTATTAATTACTCCCTCTCATGTTGTTCAAACCCGCAAGACCTTTGTTCATCTTCAGAACAAAAATTAAGATATTTCTGATAAAACCAGAGAGCTTTCTGACCCTCCATAGACAGCAACGCAACTACCACGTTCAAGGCTCAGAAGGGTAGTAAAGACATCATTAAAATAATCGTGGTACTGTCGTGGACACGTGTTCACTGGTACGGAAGAGAAGAAATGGTTGAATAAAGTCATTATTTTTGTTTTCTTTGTGCACAAAAAGTATTCTCGTAGCTTCATAACAACCAGTGATGTCACATGGATTATTTTAACAATGTCTTTACTACCTTTCTGGGTCTTAAATGTGGTAGTTGCATTGCTGTCTATGCAGGGTCAGAAAGCTCTTAGATTTCATCAAAAATATCTTAATTTGTGTTCCAAAGATGAACGAAGGTCTTACTGGTTTGGAACGACATGAGGGTGAGTAATTAATGACAGAATTTTCAGTTTTGGGTGAACTATCCCTTGAATATAATTTATAACAGAACTTTGCCTTTCACTATCTAATGCCATTGCATTTCTTTAGAGAGATGTACTGCATTCAGAGTTTGAGGAAAAAGGCTCGGTGGATGCCTGTCTGCGGTTTTTAGATCCCAAAGTTGAGCACTGGCCTGCTGCTGTGGCACTTTGTCTGCTCCGAATCGGATTAGAGTGCACAGGCAGCAAAATGCGAGTCAGGCCGAGCATGGAAATGGTTTGTAAATATTCTCATTTATGCAAACATGTACACGTATAAACTTATATAAACTTAATTTTATTCCTCTTCAGGTGCTTCAGAGACTAAACCAACTTCTTCCCATGCCTGCACTGCCTGAGGACCAGCCGCACACTCTAGATGATACAGTCCCTCTTCAGCAGCCGTACAATGGCCACAGTCCGCGTCTAAGCTTCCCCATTGAAGTTGATGAAATGTACAGCCCACTGGAGGAACTGCAACCTCACAGAGTTCCCAATCTGACAGAACCCTGTGAGTGCAGCCAGTCTGAGGTCACTTTCTTGAGTGTTGGAGATCCCAACTTGTCGCATTCCCTCAGGGAATGTCTTCAGGAAAATGACAGAGTGGTTTCAGCATCACAAAGTTTGCAGTCAGACTCTGCAGCTCGCCTGGACTTATATGGGAGCTGGCCTGTGGAGTGTAGCTGTAGCACTGGAACCGAAGCCCAGGGGTGTGAGGACTGCTGTGCGAATGGCTTCAGTCAGTCTGTTTTATATGTAACTCTAGGCAAGTAGAGGCAAGGGAGCATTCACAGGGAAATCTGTCTAGGAAGTGTCAAACTTCTTTGTCAGTACAAACTAAATTATGTTCAAGCAGGTTCAGAATTAATATCCAATATTTTTCTTTTTCAGACGATGATGCCCAGCCCTCTCAGAATGGCATCTCAAATCCAGCAAAAGAGAAAATAAGGAATAAAATTAATCTGTACAACCAGGGGTTAATAAAAACGGAAGAACTTCTTTCGCTAAAGTCAGAGTGATTCAGCAATAGGTTGGATATCTCCACAAAAAAATTCACTCTGTGATTTTTATCAGCAGTGGGGAGTGTTGGAGCTCATTTTGTTTGAACGTTTGTTTGTTTGTGCTGCTTTTAAAAATATTTGAAGATATTTTAACTGTATTTCTATATTTATCTGCTTCTAAATATACATAACTTATTCTCAAACTGAGTTTTTAACATTAAAAAGAAGATAAAAAGTGGATGTGAGGATACTACCAAAATTATTAAAAATATTAACCACAATATATTTTACGCAGACCTGCAACTACTGTCACTTTGGAGGGTAGAGATAATAGTTTATTTTAGCCTGTTACTTCTTTGTAATTCGTTAAAGCAATTATTTCAAAGAGTACGATCTGTCAGAAACACTTCCCGGTGTTCCCACTTCCTTATAGTGCCTACAAATCTCCACGCTTCAGTGAAGCTCTCTGTACGTTTGTTTTTGACGACTGGATTAATTGAGGAAACACAAGGGGCTTTTGATCTAATCTATGTACGTACAGATGTTTAAAATAATGTACAATGTTCAAACCATAATTAAAGAAACAAATTAAACTTTACGGAGACTTTTATTTTGGGAATATAAAATTCCGCGGCCACACTAGACTTTTTTTCTTTTCTTTTTTTTTTATTACAAAACTTGTAGAAACATACAGAAACAGGGAAGCGAGACATGAATATATTCCAACAAAAAGCAATTATAAACACAGAAAACAAATATTCTGTATTTGCATGCCAAATTAATTATTATCGGTCACACTAGACTTCGAGCATTGCGAAATTCGTTCGGACAGTGCTGCGAAATATAGGATATGACATCACGCGCCAAAATATCCTCACTAGTCATGATTATTTTCTATTTCAGTGATTACAATCAGTCACACGTATAGTTAATCAAGTACACACAGAATGTCGCTGCGAACGCGAAGTACCTTGCTTGAAAAAACCATAACTGGTTACATTCTGTCAAACGGTGTGGATGACGATGTAGAAAACGAAGATGAAAAAGAGGAAATACAAAAAGAATTTTTGGACAAGAAGGAGGTGAACTCTGTCTCATCTGGAGGAAAAATGTTTAAGTTCTCCGTGCCGGCGTCCAAAGAAGGTATATTAGGCTAACTAATAAACAGACAAACTTTCAAAGCAGCTATATGCTGTTTAACCCATTTGTTTCCTAACTAAACAATTTTTGGCTAAATGAAATATATATTCACACTGCAGTCTTTTGTCTGAAGTCTTTCGATTGTCATAGTAACAACACAAATGTGTGGTGGTTCAGCGTATAAGAGTTGTTTTAAAAACTTAAAATCGGTTACGTTTTCAATGCTAAATAAATAAGTTACTTAATTGTAGTTATTTAGTTCTGGTCAACCGTCCACCCCCCCCCCCCCCCCCACCACCATTTAGTTAGTTTACTTAACATTCTAAGTACATTAAATTAATTACCAAACGAATACAAATACCAAACCAATTCGATGCACAAATATGAATTTAGTAAACCTTGCCATGTAATTCTGTAAATGAAAAAAGTCTATAATGACATTCCCAATATGTTTTAAACGTTTTTTTACAATTAAACTCATGGAATATGATGCATTTGATTCGTATTATAGTCTGATAATTTAAAATACTTCAGATAGAGGTATACGACATTTACATTTTATCCATATTTTATTGTTTTCTAGATGAATGTTTGCTGATGCCGTTATTCATCTTTTTAAATGTATATTATGCAATAGGCCTAAATATTTAGATTATTGATTGCTGTCTTTTTGATAACATTAAGAAAAGACAAAAAGGTAAAACGTAGTTAGCATAATTATTGCTAAATAATGACGTTACCATGTTAATGGAGGAGTTGAGGGGCTCATTGGCGCCCCTTCAGCTGGTGGTGCCCTAGGGCCTAGGCAACTGCCTAGTTCTCCTATGCCTAGAAACTTATTTATTATATTTAGAGCGTACACTTTTACAAGTAAAAGTAACATAAACTTTACATTGTTACATGTTAAATTCTCTTGCTGTTGCATCTCATACCTGAAAGACAGACTAAGCTGTTGCAATTGTAAATCATTTTCATCTTTTGCAGTGTCATTCATGGCTTGTAATGAGACATACAGGGTTAGGAGCCGTTTTCACCTTTGTGATCCGTGGTGGGAGGTAACCTGCACAGTTCGCCGTGGCAATAAGCGCAAGTTTTCTACCATCCCCTCCAGCTATCCCTCCTACAAGTCTCCACACCAATCTGAGTTCAGAGGACCAGTCACTTGTGTCTCTTTTTCTTAAAGCATGTGGCGCAAAACCGGGGTTTGTTATGAGCTTTATGGACTTTTTGTCCACAAACAGACACGTGGTGGAGCTTATCAATGTGCTGGATGCACTGCAGGATTTTGACGATTCAGCACCAAAGCATAAAGCTGTGGCTAAAGAGGTCAAGTCAAATGTCATTAACTCAGGTTGGACCACTCATCATATATTTTCATAATACTTAGAACAATTTAGCACTTTCAATAACTTATTGAAGGACCACTCCAACGTCTGCTTAAGTAGATTGTATTTGAAGTGATCTATCCACCTTGTTCTTAAATGCTGAAGTAAGCTTATGGGCGAGACTTCCAGTTCATTAGCCACTATAGGGAAATAACTTGCATCGCAACAAATGTAATTGAGTCCCAAATGAATGGTAACCTAGAATTATTGCTGTTGCTTACAGGAGGGACTGTCAGTTGATCAATGAGGTTTGCTGCAAGCATTATTCAGGTCATGTTACAAAGTAAGTAAAATCATAATACTTTCAATTTTATTGGTTCCCTTTTTAACAGTTTGTATACATATTTTGTTTCTGTTAGGACTCATGAAAATAAAATATACTTTCAAGTGGGGGATAAAGTTTGCTGCACAAAGAATGGCTATATCTCAGAAACAGATAATGAGAACATGCAAGAAGAGCCTGCACATGATGTTGCTGGAACTTCCCAAGATATTCCAAGTACCCAAAGAAAAAATGAACAGAAGAAAATGAAACAAGAAAGAATGTGCAATGGGGAAATTTTCTTCATTAAAGCGGTGAAGTGTTTGGAAAAATGTCTTGATTTGAAGTTTTATTGGGTTTTTTTACAATGCCAAAAAGTCTTTAATCTGAAATATCCGATGTTAAAGTAAACTGACATCAATTTGTGAGCAGTTAGAGTAATTACATGAATTTGATTGTTGCATTTTTATGATATTTTACATCCAATCACAGGATGTAACTGAGGAGGATATGGGAGCAAGATGCAAAACAAGACACTACTTGACCCTAGATGATGAAAACGGCCGTGTGGTGACTTCTAACTACAGTGAACTACAGAAAGAGTGTAAACTGCGCCATGCTTGGGCAAGAACCATTCACACCTTTCAGGTCTCCAGTTCACACATACACTCTGGATGCTTTTTGTTTAAGAATTAACACCTAGTATTAGCATCTGTCTCTAATCATGTTTTGTCTTCACTTTAGGGCTCGGAGGCTGAAACAATTGTGTACGTTCTTTTGAATACCTTTGTTCAAAACTGGCAGCACGTATACACTGCAGTGACACGCGGTCAGAAGCGTGTGTATGTGGTGAGTAGAGACCGTGATCTAGAAGGAGCCATTGAGAAAAGGATCACCCCTCGTAACACGCGATTGCGTGGCCGTGTCAAGGAGATTGTTGCCCAACAAGATTCTGAAGACTCTTTCACGCAGTCTGATTGCAGTCCAGTCTCAAAGCGCCACAGAGCGAACTAATAAAGGTGACAGAGTAAAACATCTGTAAATGATCAAAAGTACATTGATATTGTTTTTAACCTATGACCTACTCTTGCTCTAGCAAACCACTTCAGAAGAGCCTCTATTGGAAAGCACAAGCTGAAGCTCCAAATCTCACAGCAAGGAGCTTCCCTGACAATTCCTAATTCAAGATCTAATTTAAACCAGTGCAAATACAAAGTCTCAGGATGTTGACTTTAAAACAAATATGCTGTAAATTGAAAGAAACGATTTAATACTCTGCACTATTTCTATTTCAGTAATCATATAATCAATTTTCTTTTTATTATTGTTAACGTTCTGAAATTAGGTAGTCTTAAGAATGCGTTTGTATAACTGATTATGCTATTGACATTATGATTGGCACTGTCTCCCCCAGGTATATGAATATTCCTGCATGTGATAATTATATGCTTATAATGTTCCAAATATTAATCATGTGAGTTTTTTTGTGTTAAGTTTGAATTATGCTTTTTATTACAATGACTGGATATTCAAACTGTTTTTGATGGCATGTTTTTATTTTATTTTTTATTATAACTTGACATTTCAGCACAATTATCAAGTCACAATGAACATTAAATAAATATTAAGAATGATTAAAATAATTTATGTTGATTTCTGTGTTAATCACATTTCAAATACACTCGTTCACGTTATTATCTTTGTGCTATTTTTATTCTCCCTTTGGTTTGTTATAAAAAATATAAGTTGCAGCTGCAGATTTATCGAGCTTGAAAGATTACATTTGGGACCAGAAAGAAAATGATAATAATTACATATATAATTATTAGTTTAATATAGGCTTATTTAGTTTTTGTTTAACCTTTTTTTATAATATTATAAAATACGTTTTGCATGCAACTAATAAATAAAAATGAAATTATTTTTTTCCTCTATTCCTATAAATGCATTTTAGTTTTTGAATAATATGCCTGACACTTCTGTTTATTTTTGACTTGTTAGTTTAGTGATTACATTGACAGGAAGCTGCAAATAAACTGATTGGACTTTTATTTTGGCGTAATGCGATTTGGGTATTGTTGACTGTTTACAGTCACGAGTTAAGAAAATGAGCCGCGAACTGTCGAAATCTTCAAACATGGCGCTGCAAAGTCCCACCGCTGGATTAAAAACCATAACTGGTTACATTTTACCAGAACGTCACATTGTACAATCAAACCAAGAAGATGTTTCAGAAAGTGAAGATGAAGAAGAGGAAACGCAGCCTGAGTTTCTGGACATGAAAGAGATGGATTCTGTTTCATCTGGGGGAAACATGTTTAAATCTTCTGTGCTAGCGTCAAAAGAAGGTGAAACAACACATTTACTAACAAATATTTGTTATTCTTTGGTTGTGTATTTGTTTAATGATCACAAGGTCAGAAAATGAAACAGTTTTTGCAACAGTATCACACTTAACAAGTAAACATAGCTGTGGATAGAAAATACATCAAATGTTTTTTACAGTTTACTTTGCTAGTCAGGTAACCATGTTTACGTTTTACACGGTTGCAGGTAACATAGAAACCATGTTTATATTTTGCATTGTAATAAGAAACAAAGTATCCATGTTTACATATGCCGTTTTTTATGAGGTAAATTGGGGGTAAAAGTATTCATCATAAAACATATGAAATGTTATACTTTTTGTATTTTGTATGTCATAATGTATTTCCCCGTGGACTGTTATCTTCTTGTATGACATTTTTTTCACTTTCAAACATGTTTGCTTACTTTGTAATTTCCTCTCTTAAATTGTAATTGTAATTTCTTAAACTGTAAAACAATTGTATTTAAAAGCTCTTCATTTTTTATATTTTGAATAACCTGTGAACACCAAAATAAGCATGGCACATCACTGACCTGCCAGTAGTGATAGATTTGTTTATTATTTACTTTGTTACAGGTATCTTATTGTACAATCTACCTGTTACAAGAAAACATAATCATGTGTAAAGGTTACGTAGTTACAAAGAAGCCTGTTTACAGTTTTCACTGTTAAATTTAATCTTATTTACAGATAATGTTGTTATAAAAAACGTTTAGTACAATTCACACTGTTATGTCTAAATTCAGTTCAAATCAACTTGTCATTTTGTCTCACTTTTTCAAGATAAGTAAAGCTTATTTGTACTCTTGTCACTTGTATTATTTTTGTTTATATTCATATAGTATTTGCTTAGGGACCAAAAGGCCTCATGCTTGTCTTATCTTCTTTTGCAGTGCCATTCATGGCCGGTAATAAGATGTATCGGGTTGATGGCCGTTTTCCCCTCCATGATCCCTGGTGGGAGGTTACCTGTACAATTCGCCAAGGCCGGCACAAAAATTATGTCAAAGGCTTCCCCTCCTACAGACTCCGCACTGATCTGGGAACAGAGGGCCGGTCACTTGTGTCTCTCTTTCTTAAAGCATGTAGGGCAGAACCTGACTTTGTTAACCTGTTTATGGAGTGGTTGCCTAACGACAGACATGTGGAGCCTGTCAATGTGCTGGACATCCTGCAGGATTTTGAAGATTCATCTCCTGAGAATAAAGCTGTGGCTGAACAGCTCAAGTCAAAAGTCAATCGCTCAGGTTGGAAATGTATACCATGTTTACTTCTAGAATTTGTATGACACGTAAAGTGATTTTTGTTAGAATATTCAATTTTGCAACAATTCAAAACATGTTTTGTCGTAAAACAAAGACACAGAAGACCCTGGGGACAGCCAGACCTGAAGTAACTTCCTAGAGCTTAATCTGATGCCTGAACCTTAAATATACACTTCTGCATGCATAATGAATATGAAAAAGTGATACTGAAATCATAATCACATCCCTGTTCTTTAAACAAAACAGCGGCTTGGACACACATGAGAGTTGCCAGCTTGTACCCTGAAATCATGAAATACTTACCAACATTGCTGCCAGGCCAGTTTATAGACATAATAAACAAAGGAAGGATGGAACACATGCCAGAAACTTCTGAACGAGATGATTCTACTACACAAGAACAAAGCAATGCAAATGTATTGGCCAAACTTGAGGAGCTCATTAAAACTGATGTTTGGAAGCTGGGCTTCAATTATGTAAGATGGCTACTCTGGTTGTTAGGTTTTAAATCTTAAGCTTACTTTATTTCCTGCATTATTTAGTATTGTTTATATGAATATTTATCAAACTTTTTCAACAGATCATGTTTAAAGAATTACATCTGGTCCGGTGTGAAGCACAAATGGAGGCCTTCAAGCTCTGTCATTTATTTTGGAGTATCCCAGTGCTGCAACGTAATGCCTTGCTGTTGTATACAGAACTGAAAAGACACTGCAGAGCCACTGGTAGCACATACGCCGACCGGGAGCTGCTGGAGAAGAAGATATCGAATGAGACGGGACATCTGGGTGCCTGGGAAGCTTTACGTTTTCTTGTGGAGCAGGGGGTGCTTAAAAGAGAAGGTGACAGGGTGGCACTTCGGAACCTCTTCGGCTACGAGAAAGGCATTGCCGAATGCTTGAGAGGCCTGGTTGAGGGAGACCCCTGGAAGATCCACTTGGATGTGAGAGAGGTTCTTCGCGAAGCTCAACTAGATAGACTAAGGGCGAAGGCCCGTGAAAAACACAGTTTGACTCATTCAAGGAAATCTAAGGCTGACGCAAAAACGTCAGTCTCAGAAGCACAAAATGACATTGTTCAGGAGGTTAAGGTTGAGCAGATGGATCTTGCTTTTCCCCAGCCTGGTACTTCAAGCGTGGTCCACCACAATGGAGAAATGACAACATGTGATTCTCCTAAGTCCTATGAAATTACAAAGCTCACCATTAAAGAGGAAAATGTATCTTCAGACTCGGACTCCTCAAATGACTCCACTTACTTCGACATTGATCCCTCAACTATAGAGTTAGACCCCGATCAAGTGCGAGCAGCAGAAATGATGTGCGCCAACCCGGTGACCGTGATCAGTGGGAAGGGTGGTTGTGGGAAGACCACAGTGGTCAGCCTGGTGTTTAAGGCGGCCATGGAGCAACAGACAAGTGACAGAGAAGAGGTGCTGAAGGCCTGTGAGGACTTTCAGAATGACTCTCAGGGGTCCAGTAATGGGCTGCTGTCAGATGTTCACGGGGAGAAAAAAGATAATGAAGGTAGTGACAGTGATGAAAAGCCTGAAGAGGTTCTCCTCACTGCTCCTACAGGAAGAGCTGCTTCACTTCTTACCAAGAGAACCGGTTTCACTGCTTATACTATGCACCAGGTATCTGCGTAACCTAACATAACTTTACATTACATAGAATTTCCTAATATAACCTTACATAACTTAAAAATTTAAAATTACATAAAAACATAGAGTAAAAAAATACACTAGATACAATTTAATAACAACTTTACATGGTTTAAACAATAGATGACATTATATTTCAAATCTTACACTTCTGCAACATAACATTTGATAACAGTGTTACATAAAAATTGTACACTACATAACAATACACAAATTAACATATATTTACACTACATAACATGTCATAACAACTTTACATACAACTTTGTCTTTCACAGCTGCATAACATTTTAACAGTTACATGTCTTAAACTTTACATTAATTACATGAAATGTCATAATGTAATAATAATAATATAACTTTACTAACTTAAACATAACTACATTACATAGTATTTCACAGCATTATATGATTTATAGATAATTTCAGAATTTAATGATAATTATTGTATTACATTTGTTTTTACAGTGGAACATTGCATTTTATAACATACTGTTACATATACATAACATTACTCTACATAATAATTTTCACAGCATTATATGATTTATAGATAATTTCAGAACTTAATGTTAATTATTGTATTACATTTGTTTTTACAGTGGAACATTGCATTTCATAACAATGTTACATATACATAACATTACACTACATAATATTTCATGAAATTACATGATTTAAACAACATTTACATTTACTTAAACAACATAACTTTAGAATACATTTCATACGTCACACTTGTACAAGGTTTGTCAATGGTTAATGCACTTTTGCTGTTTTAACATCTGTTTCAGTTGCTATAAATACCTTGTATTAGTTACGTGTATTACGCAAAAATCCCCTTTCTTTTAGGTTTTATGGAGTTTCATGAACACAAAAAAAGATCCAAGTGGAAATCCTCAGGCATGGAAGTTCTCGAAGGTGCAGGTGCTGGTGGTCGACGAGGGGAGCTTGGTGTCTGTTCAGATCCTTCACTCTATTCTCAGCATGCTTACCAAACACGCAGAACTCCAGAAGTTCATCCTTTTGGGTAAAGGCATATTGCATGCATAATATTTTCTTATTTAGGGCTTTTTTTAAATGTATTTTATTGGCAACATTATTCTACAGCTTAAGTAACTTCCTGTATTACTATTAAACAAACAAAAACATTTATTTGTGTCTGCAGGAGATGTGAGACAGTTGCCCAGCATTGAGCCTGGAAACACACTGTACGATCTGTTTGAAGGTCTCAGGAAGGTCCGGTGGGCTATTGAGATGCG